AATATATGATCATTATTAAAATCTCCATTAACAACATAAATTGGAAACGATTCATTACCAGTTGAATATGTTGTCATATTTGTAAATGATCCATTTCCAAGTCCAAAAATTATAGCAATATTATAGGTACCATAATTCGATACTGCTAAATCCGATCGACCATCATTATTAAAATCTCCAATACATAAACAAGTTGGAGAACTTTGACTTTCAAATGTATAAGTTATTTCTGGATAGAAACTACGATTTCCATATCCAAGTAGTATTGCTATACTATCAATATTCGTCTTAGTAACAACTATATCTAAATGTTGATCTGAATTAAAATCAGAAACACTAACAAATGATGGATGTGAATTACGTCCAACAGAATATTGTGTTTGAATAACAGAATATATTATTGAATAATCAATGAGAATTAAAATTTTATTTGCTTCCGAACTAATAATAGCAATATCTGATTGATTATCATTATTAAAATCAGTAATAACTGCTGCAAATGGAAGAATATTATCTTCACTTTTATATGTAGTTAAATTAGAAAAAGATTGATTACCATATCCAGGTAATATATGTACATATCCATTTGTTGAATCTAAAATAATAATATCTAGTTGAGTATCATTATTTAAATCATCAATAGTAACAAATTGTGGACGAGATTTAACATAAAGATTATAGATTTGTTGTTGTTGAAAACTTCCATTTGGATAACCATAAAATATCCCGATGTTATGTGTACCATAATTAGCAACAATTATATCAAGTTTATTATCATTATTTAAATCAGCAGCAGTAATTGAAGATGGTTGTGATCCATAATTAGTTGAATAAATAATTGGTGTAGAAAATAGTCCATCTTCACTTCCAAAAAGAATAGCTATATTATTTGTACCATAATTTGCAATAGCTATATCTAAAAATTTATCATTATTAAAATGAGCAATAACTAATGAATACGGATGAGAATCATATCCTAAAAAATAATTTGTTTCTTTTGAAAATGTTCCATTGCCATATCCAAAATATATACTAATACTATTTGTTCCGTAATTAATCGAAACAATATCGAATTGATTATCATTATTAAAATCTTCACAATTAATAAAAAATGGACGTGAATTTCCAGTTGAAAATGTTGTCATATTTTCGAATGTTAGATTTCCTTGTCCAAGAAATATTCCAATATTATTATTTCCATAATTAGCAACAATTATATCTAAGAGATAATCTTGATTAAAATCATTAGCAACAACTGAATATGGTGAAGATCTTGAATTAGTTGAATATGTTATTTGATTTTGAAAAGTTCCATCAAGATTTTGAATAAATATTCCAATATTATCTTTAGCAGAATTAGCTACAATAATATCTAATTTATTATCTCGATTAAAATCTGCTAAAGCAATTGCACGAGGTCTAGAATTATATCCAATTAAACTTTCTACTGTTCGTATAAAAGTATTTCGACATATTTTAGCTAAACAAATAGAAGATATTTTAAAGAATTTTCTACTAATGAAAATCAGTTTACTTTGTTTTGAATGAGTTAAACATACAATAAGAATTGCAATAATCATTGATAGAAATACATATAAAGCAAATATTAGACAACCTTTCTGAAATCTCATTGAGATTTTTTCATGATCTTTTCTATGAAAGATAAAAATAGAAATTTTACTTTTTATTATCAAAACAAACAAATCTTACTATTTAATTAAAGATTCGATATTTATTGATCCAATAGTTGTAACACTACAATTTTTTTGTGGAATCGATGAATTTAACACAGTAATATCGTTTATACCAAAATGAATTTATCGATTATTTTCATGCGTTGTTAAATCGTTTGTAGTATGTGTCTCCAATGACATTATTTCACTTGATATATCTCTAATTATACAGAATGAATTTTATATCAAACAAAAGCTCATCGAAAACGAAATTTTTTATATTAAATAGTAACAATTACCAAAATCTTTTATTATCAAATTGATGAAAATTTTAGAAGTTTTATAGTTTTTTTCGCATAAAATAAAAGTACATTATATTAAAAATGAAAATTGCGAGATTTTTCATCTGAGAAAAGTGACTAAAAATATTTTTAATATATATATACGATTTTGTAGAATTCGATGCGAACTATCAAATCATTAACATCTTTATTTTTTATGTGAAAAATCTCTAAACGTGACATTAAAACGTTTTGATAATTGTTACTATTTCGTATGAAAACTATGTGACTTACTACCAATTCCATCAATAAAATTAATCGTTGATTAAAATAAAGTGATCTATATACAATATGTAACTCTTTCAAAATATTTTACACAATAATTATTGCTTTATTGTTATTGATTGTACACTATCTTGAAAATAATCTTTATATACGTTTATTTCACATATAATATTGCATAGCCAACGAAATTACCATGTCGTAAAAAAAACAAAAGAAAAGTAGAAGTGATATTATTATTATATAAATTATTATAGTATATCTTTGTTCTTGATTTGATTTTATTGACATATAAGAGATAATATCGTCATATATTCATTTTTTTATAATAGATATTTGTTAGATAGTGTTAGAAAATTTCGTATTTTGTTATTGTTTAATACGTTCTATGTATTGTATTTATAAATTTATTTTGGATCACGGACCAATAATGTTCTTTTTTTGTATTCAATCTAAAATCTATAATTAGATATGAATTGCTTTTTCTTTGTTGTACACAATCCGAAGAAAAGCATAATTAGAATATGGATATCTTCTTATCTATCACGCAGTATCTGTCAAATGAAATAAAGGTGAAATATCTATCAAAGTATAAACACAAGGACTACATAATATTGCTGTTTTTACGTAGTCAATGTCTTTTTATAATAAGACTGAAGATAAAAATATAGAAAAAATATGAATCTCAAAATATTATAAAATTGGTCTGATAAATTCTACGAATTTTCTTATCAATATATTATAGTTTATAGAAAATAAAAAATAGTGATGAACCTTAGATTATTTTCAAATGGATTTCTTTATTCAAAATTTTTCCATATTCTAACATTACTACTCGTAAGAATAGAAAAATTCCAACTATAACAAATGATTAGTTTAATATTCTATAGAATAAATTAACTTTTCTTTTTGAAACTATTCGTTTGGCATCATACTTTAACTTTTATAAAACGTCAACAATCAAAAAAATATACTCTGTTCATGGAATAAATATGTAAGTCTAGTAAAACTACTGCTAAAAACAATTCTAACATGTATGTTTCAAATCAAAAAATATTGAATCAGTATAATAGGACTATGATAAACGATATATATATATATATAAGAAAATATAAACAAAATAACGGTGTAGATGTGTAACATTACTACTCGTATTCGATCGTTGGGTAATAATCATGTTCTGATCTCTACAGATAATAAATATCGATTATGGTCTGAATCTCCGTTCAAAAAATTTTCAATAGACAGCGTTCGATGTTATTTTATTATACGACTACGAGATGAATAGAACCTATGCATGAGACAAGTTTCTAGAAGTCATTCATGTAGCTCAGGGATATGGCGAATGTGATGATACTAAAATGGCTCAAACTTGAAATATCATTACTGCGACAGCATATCAACACGGTTTACCTTGGTTAATGTGGAAAGTAGTGTCGAATGCAGAAGTACGAGAGACTTCAAATTTTTCACAAATGATATTCAGGCATGATTAGCATTCGATCATCAAGTCTATTGAGCATAGATGTATCCATCATTCTTTCGATGGTCAGAGATTTGGTTCTATGACTGATCTGAAGCCAAGCATCGAGATTGAAAAAGTTTTCTCAATTATTGTAGTAAAGGTTTGAATTCTAACTTCTCCGTTGACGTCTCGTCTCCAACCGATTAAATACATGTTTGATGATACTTTTTCATTTGTATTAAAATCGAATTCGTCAATATTCTCACTTTCCGAGCCTGAAGTAACATTTTTAATGTCGACTTTAGCTTTCAGCTTCTGTGACCAGGACTGAAATTCTTGTTCAGTAAATTGATCAATGATTGTTGGCTTGTAACTCTTTCATCGAAACGATCACCACATTACCAGTGTCACTTTTTATATTGTTATACCATTCAAAATCAGCTCTAAATGATTTTCGATTAGTAATCCATTCTTTGTGCAACTTTGCTTCCCATTCTACTGATGTGTTTATCTCCACCAAGAAAAACTTCTTTACCCCTTAGTACGTCTGTGAACTACTTACTGATATAATCAGTCGTACTCTGCTGGACGGGATCTGACTTTTCAATCAACGAACAAACTCGTTTTTTGATTAATTTACTCGGATCATCGGTCATAATAAAGATACTTCGAATAATAGCCAATTATGCATACCACTCCTACTAGATAGGGAAGTTCAATTTCGAGGTTGATAATATTATCCATTCCATCTTTTGTAACTAACTCGTCGACCAGCATGGAATAGCCTTTGACATTAACGAAATGAATACTTTTTGGTAATTTCAACTGTCTCTTCACCAGAAGAGAGTAACTACTCGAGTTTTAAACTTTAACGAATATTATGCGCGTGCCTAAATTGAGAGGATTAGAAAACAGTGAGAAAGAAGGTGCCACAAAGTAACTAGAAATTTAAAACTTGTAACGAATTGACGTTTTTTATACTGCTGTATAAAATAGAATAATTGAATGAAACTAAAAGTTTTATGGAATACAAAATTTCAAGACATGATTGAATGTTAAGCAATTTGTTTAATGTTTTCAAATAATCTAGTTTTATTTCAAATAATGAAAAACAAATAACATGGAGAGAGAAAAAAAAATTGTTTTTTTATGAAAAGCTAAAAGCTTGAAATGTAAATGTTATCGTCGATTACAAATATAATGTTTTTGTTTTGGTTTGTTAATATATTTCTTAAAATAATTTTTAATAAAATTTTCTTTTAAAATAAAACAATCGAATAAATCCTTACTGAAAAGATTTGTTTAATTGACTGATCAAGTTGAACATATAATGACTGAATATTATTATTACTTTGATCTTTTTTTATTAATTTCTATAAAAATAAAATAAATAAACTTTTTATTTGATTTCCTAAAATATCTAACTTTTGACGATGAATATTCCATATAACCAAGAGATTCTTAACAAAATTATTTCTATTAAAAAGTAAAATTAATAAAAAACGAACATACTAAGATATTTCATGTTATAATTATTTTCATTATCTCTTTTCTTTTTCGATTTATTTCTAAAGAAAAAAATGAATATATTTTTTTGTCTTTTATTATAATAAAATAACTAAATACGAATATTGATATGGTTGATAACGATGACAACGTGAAGATGATATTATATTTGGTTTGGATTTATGTTTAATATCGTTTTTATTGGAATCATTTAACTGAAGTTTTTGCAATTGTTTTGCTTGACTAATTTAAAAAATTTATTTGGAAAAAAAGAAAAGAAATTTTTCAAATAAAACAAACTCATCAGCAGCTTGAGATGATTTGTTTTTATCAAAATGTTCAAGTGATAAATTTGTAACTGGATTTATTAATTCAAGACTATCACTATCACTGTCATACTCACTAAAAAGATTTAATTAATATATTTATTATTTAAATAAATAAAATATTTGTTCATACATAATAATCATTTCTATTTAATTTACCCAATTTTTAATATGTTTCTCTTTATACGTTATATACGAACATGTATATATATTAAGGATTGTAAATGAAAGTGACATCTATGAAAATTCTCGAATATAATCGAATGTTGTCATGAAAACAAATAAAAGAATGTCATATGACGGAATAAATCAAGTATTCATTTTTTTATTTTTCTATAAGAATAATAAATGTCTCTTCAAATTGAACGATCACATTCGCCATCAAAAAGGTTTTGTTTATTTTGAATTGAATATTTTTTCAAAATAAAACTGAATTTTTAGAGAAATGACTACTACTCGTTTAACTCCATATGAAAAATTACCACGTATTGGAAGTTCACATGAATATATTCCCCGTCCACCACCAACACGTCATTTAACAAAAAATCCTCGATCAAAACAAATTGTCAAACAAGAAAAAATCTTAATTGCTATTCGTTTAAGTGATGGAAGACGTTTACAAAAAGAATTTTGTTCAACTGATAAAATATCTGATATTATTAAATATATTAAAACACAACAAATGAATTTATCTGATGAGATTTATCTTAGTAGTGGTGATGTTCCAAAAAGACAATTTAAAGATTTAAATTTAACACTTTTACAAGCTAATATTCAAACACATACTGTTCTTTTTGTTGATAGATATTAAATGTAAATAAAATCTAACTATATATTCTAGATGGAAATCGAAAATGTAGATGAAAAAGAAGAATCTCGTGCATTTTTTTATCGAAAATTATTAGAAAATGCTAAAGTATATATAAAAGAAATCGATAGAAGAGATTCAAGAAGTAAAAGTATAAGTGATTTATCAATATCATATGATGAATGTCGATCATTAACTCCATCAACAATATCAATTCATAATGAAGATATGAATCAAGAATTTTTATCAGCTCGTCAACACTGTCATCAACGTCTTATGAGTTGTTCAAGAAAAAAACTTTCTCTATTATCAATATACGATAAAGTTTGAATATTTTATTTCAAATAATAAAAAAAAAGAATTTTTCTTTTCAATTCTTTCTTTAGCATGATAAACAATATTCAAAATTTCAAAAATTTCTCGATGATTTAGATTCTAAACGACGTACAAGTATCCGTCGATATCAAATTGAATTAAAAGATTATCTTTTAAAAAGACTTGAAGCTGATCAACTGAAACAAGAAGTTAATATACTCAATAAAAAGTTTGTATTTTATTTCATGATAAAAAACTATAAAAAATATTCAATAGAGTTCGTGAATTTGATGAAGAAAGACAACATTATTTACATATTGTTAATCTTATTGAAAAAACTATTCGATTATTTCCATCTGGTTTATATAGATTTATAAATTTTTCAGTTTTTTAAAAGGTATTTATATGAATAGGTTTATTACAAAAAGAGTCTAGTGGTGTTAAAAGTTTAATATCAAGATATGAAACATTAAATGAATCAAGAAAAAAATTCGAAAAAAGAGATTATCAAAAAGAGGTTTTTCTTTTAATTTAATTTGACAAAAAACTTTTTTTCGTAATTACAGAAAATCAAATGTCAAAAAGAATTTTCTCAATTTCTTATTGACCATAATATTCGTACAGCAAAATTAAGTACACATGTTGCACAATTATATGATAAATTAGAAGATCTTGAAAAAGAATCAATTAATTTAGAACAAAAACTTATTAATCAAATGGATTTACAAAGATCGAGAGTAAAATTTTGTTTTTTCTTTCATTAAAATAAAACTGAAATATTGAATTTTAAAAATAGACAACAATTATAAGTCAAGTTGAAGCATGTATTAATTATCTTTTTGAACATTATCGACTTTCTCATCAAACAAAATTAACAGAAGATTATACTTTTTCACAAAAATTAAAAACTGTTCAGGTTATTACAAATTCTTTTTATTTTCTGCTTTTTAATTTTACTTTTTTATTTAGGATTTTATTTTGTATCGAATGGATCTTGTTCAAAGAGGTAAACAAATACTCAATTAAATAACTCTATTTTTTTATTAAAAAATTATTAGCTTTTACATTTATATTTTAATAAAATAATTGTGAAAAATATTATTTACATTTTTATTAATTATCGAAATTAAATATTTATTACAATTTAATCATAAACAAAAGTCATTCGATCTTATTATGAATTTATTCTTTCATCAAAAATAATTTCTATGACTATTATGCAGATATATAAATAGAAGACGTAAGAAGAAGCTAATTTCGAAGGAGAGAAATGCGACAAAACAAAGTCGATGATACAATAATAACCCGAAAGGGGAAACAAATCTAGACGTTTAAAACTTGTAATGAATTAACGATTTCTGCTCTATTAGACTGTAAGGAGGGTGATAAGAAAAAAATAAAAATGAGTTTGTGTGTGTGTCTGGTTAAAAAAATATTCTCAACCCTGAACTGATGAGTATTCTGATTGGTGAACAAGTGGATCAGCGAAGTAGCTGATAAATAAAACAATAGTTTTCAAGTAAAAATTACTTGCTGTTTCTCATTTATATCTAATTTATTTTCATTTTTGCATTAAACAATTTTGTATACTAGTGTACACAAGCCATTAATGCTTAGTCATCATCACATATCACCTTTACTATCTATAGTCTTCTTTTCTTTTCTTTTCTTTTCTTTTCTGTTCTCCTTCTGTCTGCACAACGTGTGCAATTTTTTTCTACTCTCAACCAAGAGTATAGACAAACGTCATGCTTGAATGAATACAGTAGTTTCAATCTTTATTTTTTTTTATTTGATATCGAATTCAACTGTAAGCAATCATATTAAACGATTTCTTTTATGCATCGCGTTCTAATAATATCTTGTGTTATTTTAAAAAAAGACAGTAAATAAGAGGTATTTCTAGCTAGTTTATTTGAATTTAAAAAACAAAGAGAAAATATAAAAAAAAGAAGCAAATAGTAGATGAAAAGCAAGGAACTAACTAAAGAATAAAAAAATGTCAATGATTTGGATTTTGTATGCCAGTAAGTGCCATTTGTCGTTTCTACAAAGAAAACAAAGAAGTATTCAGTCAAATACTAGAAATTAAATGGAATAATAATCTGAAAGAAATTATATAAAAATAAAATAATACAATATTAGAACTATTTTGTTTTAAATAAATAAATGAGCAGTCTTAAAAAACATGCTTACCAATAACTTGAAAGATCCATTCAAATATGCAACTCACTTTATAAAAGTATTTAAAAAGATGTTCTAGTGACTAATAAACAACGATAAATGAATAAGTCATCGCAAAATTGTGTTCACGTACTTTATAGAGTTGAAAGGAAGATTTGCATTAGCTAGGTGGCTGGTAAATATATATGACTTATAAACTATCTGCACAAATGCTTGATGCAACTATTTAGTTCATATTGCATTGAATTCTTAGTCGACCAACTGATCAATGAACAAACGGCAGATGAATAAGTTATATAAAGATTCTGTTTATGTATTGTGTTTCATTCGAAGAAAGATTTCTAGACAAGTTCAATATTCACAAACAAATGACAGATGAATACATCACACGAATATT